ATTGCTTTTTGCATCTGAATATGATTTCATTATTCCGGGCCCCTCTCCATGGATGGAAGTTGGTTAGTCGAAAAATCAGGCGTGCTAGAATATGGGGGCCAGAAGCAATTTTCGTGATTATTTTGCTCCAGCTACTAGGATACTGGATTTCCTTCTAATTCCATTAAAATTAAGAATGTATTCTTTTATTTGTGAAGGTAATTTGTCACGTCTAAGGTTTCGCATCTTGATTACAGGTGTATGTCCATTCCAATGGTGCTGATAGTTTGGTTAATTATTAAATGGTTTGCCTAAGACCAGTCTCTGCCTTCAGAAGCAAAATGTCTAAGCATTTAATATACTTGTGAAATTTGTTTTTTTGTCCTTTATTTTGTACTTTGTTATTTTATTTTCATTATTATTTTTTAAGTTTTTATTTAAATTCCAGTTAGTTAACATACGGTGTAATAAGAGTTTCAGGTGTACAATTTAGCGATTCAGCACTTGCATACAACACCTGGTGCTCCTCACAGCAAGTGCCCTCCTTCATCCCCCTCATCTATTTTACCCATCCTTCTACCCAATATTTCCACTTACTCATAGGCTCTGGTAGTTTTAAACAAGGCCAATCATATAGTTTTAGAGAATAATGGATTAGCCTTCATACGAAACAGATAGAAACCATGAGCTGTGCCCACCTGCCTCCCGTTGTTATCTCTACTGGGCCACACCCTGAGCGGTTGAGATTTGGTCAGTGATAGCAACCCTGATACATGTTTTTTTCTCCTTGGATTTAAGATGAAAGGATATTGAGGGTGTGTGTGTGTGTGTGTGTTCCAACTAGACTTTCAGGTGCTGGACTGTAGAGATTGTTTTCTTGGCGTTTTACTGAGTTCCTACAGAATTTTTAATCTATTTACTAATGTAGTCTCATCTGAAATACAAAGGTGGGGGGACGTTTTGGTAGTGAAATCACAAATTCTCTCCACGTTGCATGACATTCCTGAGAAGTTAGGTCAATATGTAGGAGAGCAGAAAAATTAGCCTGATTTATTCAGGTATGGGTTATCTGATATGGTTATTAAAGCACGACTGGGACAGCGCAATAGAAGTTATTTCAAATTCTGCATCACTTTGAACAAACTTTATTGAAGCCTTTACTGCATTAGCCCTAATTACTCACAATGATGATGTAGTGCTCGCTTGAATCAGACCCTGCACTGTGGCCGGGGACTGTGGCTGATCGAGAGCTATTGAGCAGTTTGATCACGAAGGCTGACCTGCTTGAGCCCCAGTGGCAGCCACGGCCATCCCTCCCTCCCAGTAGCTCACAAACTGACATGTTCTCCGCCTGGCCTCCCTCTCCTGCAGCTCGTCTTCTGCCTCTTCCTTCAAATCAATAACTTTATAAGCATGCTTCCCAGACTCCGAGAAGCTAAAAAATTGCCTTAAACAAAACACACACACACACACACACACACACACAATCACCCATCCATCTATCCACCCCCGCCCCACACACACTTGAGCTAGAAAATACATGTTTTTAAACCTCTGACCCACATCCATTTCTCCCATGTTACAATGTTTATAAAATAAGGTGGGCAATTTTTTTTTAAACCCAAGGTCACCTATTTGAAAAAATACTGTTAGGACTCTAGACTGACGGATCGTTTGGCAAGTATTTACCAACAGCCTACCACATGTCCGTCAAATGTTTTCCATTTGATTGTTAACTTCCAAGATGGAGCATGTTTTTCTCCAATGTCTATCTCCATGTCTAGTGCTGTTTAATCACAAAGCTAACGCCTCACCACGATCTATTTCACTCAGTGATTATTTATTGAGCATCTACTACGTGTCAGGGCCGTACTAGATATGTTTGCATTCATTACTTTAAAAGGAAAAGAATTTCTAATTAATTGAATTCCTTCAGTATATTTTGTATCTCAATACATGATTTCTTAAATTACTTTTGCTTTTGAAGACACTTAGTTTAACTCTCTTTTCCTCCCCGCCCCCCGCCCACTCTGCACTTGTCTGGGTCTTCAAAACCACTCTGTAAAAATGATGACCTACTGGAAACAGGCTAGAAGTACTTTTTTTTTTTTTTTTATTTGACACACAGAGAGAGACAGCTAGAGAGGGAACACAAGCAGTGGGAGCGGGAGAGGGAGAAGCAGGCTCCTGGCTGAGCAGGAACCCGACGTGGGGCTCGATCCCAGGACCCTGGGATCATGACCTGAGCCGAAGGCAGATGCTTAACACTGAGCCACCCAGGCACCCCAGGCTAGAAGTACTTCTAAATTACCTTGCTTATAGTGAAAGATGAGAAAGGGACCCCAAAGAAAACAAAAATGAAGTGAATTGTCTCAGCAGAAATATATATGACTAATGCACAAGCACACAACTGAAAGAAATCAAACCAAGATACTATTTATTAACTTTCTACTGTGTGCTTGCCTGTGGTTAATGCATCAAATGATGAGTTTCACTCACTATTTCCTAAAAGAAGTAGGAGTCTATAATTAGGGAGAAAGAAATCTGCCTTTGCTAATGTTGGGGCTATGACAGAGGGAGAATCCACTGGAAACCAGGCAATAAATCAAGAAGTTTGGTTTCCAGTCCAATTGCATGACCTCAGGCAGATCTCTGAATCTTGGAAGCAATCACGTGTGCATCGCGTGTGAAACAGGGCGTTGGACACGAGCCCAGGCTGTGTGACCCTAACTCTCTCAGGTTTGTGGGAAGCCATTTATCTGTGGGGAGCGGAATCTCAGGAAGGTCTGGCCTCCAGCACCTGGGGAGATCTCTGGCTTGTTTTCTCCCCAAAGTTCTGCTTAGCAGCCTGAGACCCGGAAATGGACCAAATCTGTGCAATTCTCAATGAGGGTCTCATTTTAGCACTGCCAAAAATAAACAGCCCATTCCTGCATCCTGAAACAGGAGAGCTTTGGCTCAGCTCTGATTACCAGAGAGGCAGGTTTAAAAGTTTAATACCCACCTGTTTCTATGCCTGTTTGGCATATTTGTAAATGACTGAGTGCAAAGAGAGGAGGCGAGCCCGTGAAAGCATGGGGTCCCAAGAATGCATTCTCTCACTCTGAATGGAAAGAGCCAAGAGGGGAGGAAAATGGGGGGGACCACCTGTCTTTTGCCTCTGGGAAATATCTGGGCTTGGCAAGCAAAGGCAGAAATATACAGGCTAATTTCTAAATCCATAAAGGGAGGTCTCCAGAGCTTAACCAAGAAGGTTGCATAAGTAATTATTGGGGCGGATAGTGCAGACTCCAGACCACATCATTCACTCCAGCCAAGTGATCGCTTCTCAGAGTTCCAGGCTTGGCACCAGCCCCTCATCCAAGACTATGTCCACATTGCTCCCTCTGCCTGGATGCTCTCCTGCAAAGGTGCTCCCATTTGTCAAGTCTCAGAGTAGCTTCTTCCTCACTCACCTACAACTTTCCCTCTGACCTCTTCCTGTTCTCACTGCAGGCATCATTTACCTGGCATTTCCACCAAGAACTTTCACTTCACACCTAGCATGTGAACAGTGGGTAGATTCACGGTCCTGTTTGAGAGACTATCCCATTCCTCCTAAGCAAGATTTCCCAAATGGCTGAGGAGAATGGCACTTCCAAGAGATGTTAAGAGCTATTGCCAGAAAAATGGGTTCTGTGGTCAGATAAGATTGTAAAGTTCTGAGTCTCTCCTCCCTGAAGCGTCACAGTGCAGACACTGGTCAATTAAAGGCTCTGAAAAGCCCTATGGAAAGGAAGCAGGTATAAAGCAGCATTCCCTAGACTCACTTAACTATGAAAATATCTGTTATCACAAGACACTTACTAATATTTTGCAGAACTCAATTTGGGAAATGTCACTCCAAATATTTCCTTCTGTTATTTCAATTGGGCACATTTTCTAATTACCAGTAATTTCCATGAAGGAGGTAGGGATGATGACAAGTTGAGTTCTTTGCTCTAAGCATCCTGCTCACTGAGAAGATGAGTTTAGAGTGAATATCAATAATGAGCCTCTTCCTGGGCTTCTAATCATAATAGGCATTTCTAAATACTATAATACACTGAACAGTTACCAGTGCAGTAAGTCCACGCTGTGCCCTCATTCTGTATGCCATGAAGGGAGCAAGAACCTAAATCATGGATTCCACCTCTGAGGTATGTACAATAGAAGTGAATAGAAGACAGTTCTTCTGTAGTCTCTGAGTAGGTAGCAAACACATGGTAGACACTGGGTGCTGCGTGCATTCGGCGGGGAGGCCGGGCCTTCAAGGTCTGTGGGATGTAGACAGGAGTTGAGGAAGGCTGTCCTCAAAGAACAGCGTTAAGCCAAGCCCAAGGTCCGCTTTCTTGGCAGGAGGGATAAACATGGCAAAGTGGGGGTTGGTGCAGGCACTGGTGGGAGATTATGTGGGGAGCAGAGGGCAGAGCATGTGGGACGTCTGAAGGAGTTTATATTTTATCGACTGCCAGTGAAGGGTCTGGTGACTACTGAGGAATTCCTGACATCATAGGGTAGAATGAATCAAGGCCTCTGAGAAACTCTGATCACTGTCTCCCACCCCCAGTGAGCAAGGGAGCTAATCAAATCCAGTGGTGGAGAGCAAGGGTACTGGACCTATGTTGGCATCCTGACTGTCCAGAGGTTCCTGGGGCGAGTTTCTTGACTCCTGGCTTCCTCTTCTGAACTGAGGGCGTAGGTATTTACTTCACAGACCTCTTTTATGAGTCACGTGAGATTAACACAGATAAGGCCCTGATGCAGAGATTAATAATTACTAAGGCTTGATAAAAAGCCATTAATACTGTTATCATTCAGTTGCTACTCATGGGCCTTTGCCCCCAGGTCCTGAGCTGATCTTGAAAACTCAGTGCGGAAACATGCTCGGTGTCTATGGGAGGTTGCTAAGCGGAGAAGCTACGTTCACAGCACGTTCCCCGCGGGCCTTCTCCGTGCCCACCTTCATAGGGGTGAACCCAAAGCCTCTGCGCAGTGCTCACCTGCATCAGACGTGGCTGCAGATGCAGCAAGGAGCGACAGCACTGGGCTCGGGGGGATTGCCACGCTGTCAACCGCGGCTGGCTTCTTCCTGGTCATCATGGTGGACGCGGAGCCCTCATTCTTACTATGTGGTGTCGTTTGGTCCACTTTTAGGTGGGGACTTGGCATCCCTACAAAAGAACAATCCCGAAGCTTGCAGTTATTTGAAAAGAACAGGAAAACAGACAACAGAAAACCTGAAAGTGAGCTGAGAAAATTGTTAATTCACCTGACCTCCTTCTGGTAGAACAAGAATGAAATTTTAGAACATTTAAAGAAAAAAAATATTAGCAGCATGACTGGTTTTGGTTTTGTGGCTGAGATCAGTGGTGACAACATTCTAGTTTGGCTCCGTGGAAGCAGGGGGACAGGCCCAGTGAAGCAGAAGAGGCCAGCAGCTACCCTTTGTCTTCTATGGGTCAAGAAGCCCATCTTCACAGAGGTTGTGCTGTGTGCAGCATGAAGGGGAGAAGGGGACTCCACCCTAGCTTCTCATGTCATCTGGCTGGGGACATGAGACTAAAGGAGAAGGAAAAATTGGAAGGCACAGAAGGGCAGGCTTGGGTGTCCTTCATCCATTCACGTCCTAGGTGCTTGGGGAGCGCTAAGGAGTTGGGGATTAGTGTGGGGAGAAGTGAGGGAAGGCTTTCCAGAGCTAATGCTAAAGCATCAAGGAAGAGGGAAAGGCATTCTCAGTGCCAAGAAGAGCACACACTAAGTTCTGGGTGGGGAATGAAGATGATCCAGACGAGAGGCTGGTCTGCTGGAGCAAAAGATGCCTTGTGGGGGCTGGTGTGTAACAGCAGTCCCCACGACCGAGCGAAAGTTGATTTGGGGGCTTTTCAGCCTCTGGTCCTAAGAAGCATCATAAGTCATGTCTTTGTGATGCTGAAAAGCACCTCTTGTGGAGTGCCTCTGTAAGGGCCTGGAACTATATAACATATTATAGAGCTATTCTGGAACCTTGCTTCCGAGGTTCGAACCCAGGCTCTTATTTTTTAGCTGTGTAATCATAAGCAAGTTGCTTACCCTCTCCAAGCTCTGAGATTCCTGAGCTGTACAAATGGGGTGGAACCATATAGGCTCACAGGGGTGGTTGGGAGGATCCCGGAGGCAATTAACGTAAAGTGCTTAGAGCAGTGGCCGGCACAGACTCCCGGACAAGGAAGTGTTTCCTGTTCATATTACTCTTACTATCACCACCGTCGGTACTGCAGCCTGTGGCTTCCTCAGGGCAATGGAAGGCAGCTGGCAAAGCCTCCGTTCTCTTCCCTGACCTGCCCAAGGATTTCTGGGCCCCGTCTGCATCCCCAGCTGCAAGAACGTGGCTCTCCAACTCATCCAAGCCCAGGCCCAGAGGCTGGGCGTGTCTGAATCCGTCAGATGGTCATCCATGCAGAATTTCTTCATTTCTAGGCTACCTGCCACTGACAGCAACAACAAATGGGGCTTTATCCCACAGCTCTTGACCCTTGTTTTTGCAACACAACCACCGTGGGTGATTCAGTCCTCTCTCCGAGTAATGTTACGTTGCCACCACAGTGAAAGCAGCTCAGGGGGGGTCAGTGGCAGCCCCATGAAGTGTGTAGCACAGAAGATACCAGTTTCTTAATTTTACAGATGAGGGAAACACATTTCTGAGAGGTTAAGAGATAACTAACTAAAGTCACACAGCCCTAATGTCAGGGCTGGGAGTCTGCAAGTAGCCAGATGCTAAATCCAGGACCCATGGATCAGCCCGGCCCAGCTGGTCATCTTCTAACACCTGTCCACTGCCCTGGTCGGCCCACAGCATTGTTCACATCGCGGGTGCACAGGCCCTAGCGTCACACCTGGAAAAAACACCTATAAGCATCTAAGGAAGAAAGTCATGTTGACATTTTCATTGATCTACTACTACCTTCCTCCTACTCTCCATCCCACCCTCTGAAACTCCCCCTCTGGTGTTGTGAATAACAATGCCATTTACACTTCTTTGGATTTTCTTTTTCATAGCATTTTGACAATGGAGGTAGACAGACATCAAATTCTGCAACAGAAAGATTGCAAGGCATGACCATCAGGAAGCCAGGAAGGGCAGCAAACGTGGGCAGGATGTCCATTTGTGAAATATGCAGGGGTGTCAGGGATGGGCTAGGCGCGCACACATAACACATGTAACACACATACAGAACCACCCACAAGGAGACCTAGCCAAACAGTTAACACTGGTTATTCTCAGGAAGGAGAGCGCAACAAAGTTTGGTGAGGAAGAGGGAGTTTTTACACTTACTCCCTAGCCTTCTTTCTTGTTAATAGTTTTAAAGCCACAAACATATTAAACTTTGTTTCCTTTGAGAAAATAAACAGACTTTGAGGGTAAAAATCTAGAAGTCTACCAGAGCACAGGCTTTGGGGTAGAATGCTATGCTTGAACATCTGGCTGCTAACAATCTCAACTGGGGACAGCAGCCCCGGGTCTGATGGAGGTCCTCCCAGTTCGGTCCCCCCACTTAGGTACTCGCCGTGCCACCCGGGGCATGATTCCATTAAATGGAGGCAGGTGGGCCCTCCATAGCCATAGCGCGCCTCTGGAAGTCCAAGCCGTCCCAGAGTTCTGTTGGGTAACAGCTCCTCTGGAAAAACCCACTGATACGTCATCCTTGTACCTGCAGACACAGGTTGGGCAGGTCATTCTTTGCGCAAATTATGACAGGCTCAGGGAACAAGCCGCAAACAGGATGAGCAGGAGGATATTTAACTCTCACTTGGGAACAAACTGATTTCGAGTCATTCTCGTGTACCCATTTTCATGCAAATGTTCACCATCCAAATTAGTCTCAGTCCACATCATTTCATTAAAGTTCATTCGATCATACCTCTATTGGGCATACTTTGCTACTCAAGTGTTTATGTTAAAAGTAATAAAATGACACTTAAAAACTCCATAATTCAAATTGTCACTATTCAAGCTGTCTTGGAAACCCTCGATAATTTAGGATTTTCTAGATTATGGAACTGTTTGTTAGTTGCCATCCAATGAATTTGAAAAGCAATTAGGAAAAAAGAAAAAAAGGAGCCCTGACGTTTTCTCAGATATTTTTGGGTTTTGAAAGGATTATGGAAACAATCTCAGAAATAGCATACATGAATCAAGTATATTAGATAAGCTTTCAACAAAGACTAATCTAACAGCATTCAGAATCCCCAAAATCTGCCTGAGGGCCGAAGGCTCGGGGTCCTGGGATGGGTGACGCCCCCCCCCCCGGGGAGAGAGCACCGGGCAGCCTGGCCACCAGAAGTCTTCATTTGCCTTTGTTCCAGGTGGGAGCTGAGGTTCCACGGACAGGGGCCCAAATGACTGGACATGCGTGAAATAGTTCAGAAGCAAGTTCTCGGAGACGTGGGATGAGGGCGGAGTGCTGGGACATTTGGAACCTTTCTTCTCAGCATGGGCCTGGCTTCCCTCTCTCTGCAGGAGGGAGATGCGTGAAGCTCAAGGTCCACCAGAAAGAACCCGTGGATCATTGAGATGTGTTACTTCAACTAACCCTGGGACCTGAGTAAAGGTGAGCATAGCTTTGATGTGGGAAGGGGTCACTTCCACCTCAGACAGCAGACTGTGTGGAGAACACACATGGCGCCTGCATTCGAAACATCCGTCAACCCCAGCTCAGGACAGGCTGTACTGAGGCTCGCATATTTGGAGGCCAGGACATTTTTAACGGAGGAAATAACAATGCTAATAACTATGTGGATCCAACATCTGTTCATAATTAAAAGACAGAGCCAAGAGGAAATATTTTTTCAAAGTTAAACCTATAGGAAAACATTCTAATAACCTGTTGACCTCTATTGATACATTTGTAAAAAAGTCTTTGAAACTGTGCTGTAGTGTATCGAGGGACAGTCACTCATTTTCAATGGTAATTTCTCATAGACCACTTATCCCCTCAAACCTCTACCTGCACACCGTGTTTGCATTAGGGACTTGATTTATGGATTCCCAGTCCTCCGATGCAGAAGCTGACTTCCTGTTGCCTTGGTTACTTGGAGCTTGGTTCAAGGTTAAAGTACTCCCAAATCAGAATCAGTGGCAGGCGCTGCATCTAGCGGCCAGGTTATTGACTGCCCCAGGATGGGAAAAGGTCAGAGACCAAAGCACTGTTTACTGCCTTAAGGGTGAGTCAATAGCTTCAATATTTTGATTCTGTTTCTTCCAAAGTAGTAGTTGCTGTTCAATTACCTCTTCCCCGGCTTGTTCAAGGTCACAGGGGTCATGGAGGAAAAGCAGGGTCTATGGTGGCTGACTTTCCCAGGATCCCTTTAATGAGCTCTGTGACCTTGGATAATAAAAACCAGCCTCACCTTAGAGTAATTTGTATGTTGCTCTAGGTTTATAAAGCTACTTTATCTCATCTTCTTCATGGGGAAAACAAACAAACAAACAAAAATCTTTGTAGGAGGAGTACGGTATACTCCCCTTTCCTAGATCAGAAAAAAGAGGTTTACAGAGGTCGTGTAACTTATGTAAAATCACACAGTTGGCAAGAAGTGGTAAGAACTAGATCCTGACTCCTTGATGGGTCCTCATGTCACAATTTCTTTAAAATAGAGGGGCTAATGGAATCATCACTAGTGATCATATGTAATTCCTTTTGTAACATCCACTGCAGAGAGCAGTAGATCTAGAAAATGCTATGTCATTAATATAGGCTTGTTGAACACCTTAATTAATTTTTTAATTATATGATTTGCAAATGCAGTTGTTTCCTGGTGACAAAACTTAGTCTGGGATAGTGAGAGAGCCTGACACCACTGAGATGGTGGTTGGTTTCCTCAGTCACCTCCCTGGCCCCCTTCATGCTGCAGAATGCAGGGCTTTGGCATGCACTGGGAGGTATATTGAGCAGTCAGTGGCTTTTAATCTTGCAAAGAGCTTTGACATACATTATGCCATTTGCCCCTGCAGCATCTCTGTGGATGACAAAAGGCAGATGGTGAAATTCCAAATACACAGATAAGGAAACTGAGCCACAGAGGACCAGATGATTTCTGAACCAAACTCACACATCACATGTGCAGAAGAAAGAGTGTGGAAATCCATGCCTGTTGACTCAATTCGATGTTCTTTCTTTCCCTTTTGGGTAAA